GTAAGTGACTTACCCAGGGTCACTTAGCTAGGAAGCATCTGGGGTGAGATTTGAAACCATGTCTTCCTGACTCCAGAGCAAGGGTTTTATCTACTGTACCACCTAACTGTCTCACCAGTGGACCATAGCTGGACTGAAACCAAACAGAATATTTGTACATACAAATAACCCACCAGGAAGGCCAAGTTTGAGCATGTTCATAACAACTTGATGAGGACAGTAGTGAAGGTGTGACCAACCTCGTTTTATATAAAACAAGTCACTGAGACTCAGCAGCTAGGTGGCACAGTGTGTAGAGTGGTGAGTCAGAAAGACACATCTTCCTGAGTTCAAATCCAGCCTCAGACACTTATTAGCTGTGTGACCATTGGCAAGTCACTTAATCCTGTTTGCCTCATTTTCCCCATCTGTAAAATGAGCTAGAGAAGGAAACAGCAAACCACTCCAACATCTTTGCCAAGAAAATCCCCAGTGGGGTCATGAAGAGTTGGATACGACTAACAGCACTGAGAGTCAGGTGAAATGACTTGCCTATAATCCCATAGCTCGTAAGCACCAAATCAAGTGAAATTATATTTAGCACTCTACGATTAAGAGGGTTTCCATACATCACCAAAAGCTTACTTTCTAGATTTAGAGCTAGAAGGGACCTCAGAGACCATCTAATCCAACTCCCTCACTTTACAGATGAGAAAACTGAGCCCAAAGGGAGGATGTGGAGAGTTCAAGGTCATATTGAATCTATAGTATGTGCCAGGACTTTGATTTGAACCCAGATTTTCCGATCTCAAATCTAATTTTATTGTAATGGTGCTATCCTGCTTCTTCTAGTTAAAATCATCTGATATATTGGTCCCTAAAAATACAGATAACTATCCCCCTCAAAAAAAGGCTACCCCAGGACAAAAACATTTCCCAAGGGACCCAGATAGTTAAGTTGTTTTTGTTTTAACTTTTAGTTTTTTTTTTCTAATAAATATGTTATCTGCTTAGATTTATGAATTTCCTTCATTTTGCGAAGTATAAACACAGAAGGAAAATCCATTTAACTGTTTTTACTGATTCACCGGTATTTTACCCTGCAGTCAGACAAATACTGGAGAACATTATTCTCACCTGTATCCTGGTCAGACTCAAGCTAAAGTTCTTTCAGTCTTTCAGTTCTTGATTGTTACATTTTTGGAAGGACAGTAACAAGTTGGCAAATTTCCAGAGAAGGGAAACCAGGATGGCCAGCAGACTGGAATCTATGTAATTTGAGGATTAATCAAAGGACTGGGTATGTTTAACTTAAAGGAGGGAAGACTTATAAAGGGGGGGGGCTATAATCAATATTTAAAGGATTATCACATGGAAGAGAGGTTAGATTTTTTTTTTCTGCTTGACTCTAGAAGGTTGAATTAAGAGAAATGAGTTAAGAGAAGATTGCGCAGTATCTTTTAAGATCTGGAGAGGCAGATTTTGGCTTGAGGTAAGGGGAGGAAATGCCCTAACAATCAGAGCTGTGCAAAAATGAAATGATCTGCTTCTACATGTAGTAGGTTCCCCATCACTGGGAAGTCTTCAAGGGAAGATGAGAAGATCACTAGTCAGGTATGATTCCTTTTCACTTATAGAGAGGATTCCTGTTCTTGTAGATGTCAGATGTTTTCTGAAATCTTTTTTCCAACATACATTTCATATCTGGACAAGGAACATTTTGAAATGGACCATCTTGAAAGAGGCCAAGAACACAGAGTTTTACTTCCTGTCTTGCTATTGGCAGTGAAAATCCTGAATAAGAAATATACGAACCAAGGGAGTAGCCCTCCACTGCTGAAGTCAGCACTTGCCTTATAGTCCATAGCAATAACCACATCATGCAAGTGTCCAGAGACCTGGGCTGTCAAACCCCAGAAGACGTAACAACAAACAATGGCATAGAAACATTGCTAAAAATGCTAATGGGGAAAAAAAGGAAGCCAGCTGCTTGACCACATCATAATTACAAAAACCTTGTGCATTCAGTACTTCCATTCAGACTGGTTGGTGAAATTATATCTCATGTGGGAATTGAGAATTATTCGTATTGTAACACTCTCCTTTGTTTATCATCGCCTATTGAGAAACTTCTCTCACTTTCGACAAACCAATAAATCCCATTGATGCTGCTGAACCATGATTAGCTGCACTGAAAGGTTTGGCAGGAGGAGAAGTCACACTACCTCCTCTCTAGTCTGGTCCATACCTCCCTTCTCTGATTAGGCTAAAGTTTCCTTTATTCAGTGGAGCACTCAGCACTATGAGGTATCTGCATAAGCAACAAGAGCAAAGTTGTATTGGAGGAACTTTCTGATGATGCAGGCTCTCAGAGTATATAGATTCCCAGCTATGGCCCTGACTTAGAATCTCTCTCTCCACAAGTTTAGGTATTTGAGTTCTTGGGGTAGGGGTGAATCGGGATATATGTTATAAGGACTGGACTTGTGTGAAACCTGAATTGGAGTCTTTGCTTCAGCACTTAACTAGCCTTAGGATTGATTTAGAGTAAATGACAATCTTTCTTCACCTCACATGACTGAGGAAACTGATGTGCAGAAAGATTAAGTCATTGGAATTTATTAAGCACTTTACTATTTGTGAGTCCCTGCTCTAAATTTGGGGATGAAAAAGAAGCAAAAGCAATCTCCCCCTTTAAGAAGCCTGCATTCTAATTGAGGAGGCAACCTATAAAGAAGTAGGTGCAAACAAGGTTAGTACAGAGTAGATGGAAGGTGATTTCAAAGGTGAAAGCATTAGCAAGGGGAGATAAGTGGTAGGGGAAAGACAGGGAGGGTACACCAGGGAAGGATTTCTGCAGAAGCTGAAACTGGAGCTGATTCTTAACATAAGACAGGGAAACTAAGAGGTATAGGTGACAGGTGTGATCTAAGCATGGGGCACAGCCAGTGCAAATGTGTAGAAACGGGAAATGAAATGTCAAATGTGAGAAAAGCAAGTAGGCAAGTATTAAATTCAATTCTATAAACATTTAGTAAGCACTTACTATGTACCAGGCACTGTATTAAGTGCTGGGAATAGGAATAAGAAAAAAGACAGTCCCTACCCTCAAAGAGTTTACAATCTAATGGGGAAGATAATAACACAAAAGGAAGCTGAAAAGGGAGGAGGGGACCCAGCTAGGGGTACCCAGCTAGGGAGCATGATGTTCTTAGAATGGAATCCTAGCAGGTCAAAGACGGGAAATGGAGTTACCTGGAAAGTTGTGAGGCTTCTCTATAAGGAAGGCTTTAGGAAGAGTTTATCATTCTGCTCTTCAGCTCTTCAATCAGAGGGAAGAGGCATGGCTGGATCATAGATTTTGTGGAGAGAAATAAAGTAGGAAAAGTTATATTTACAAAGAGCTTTAAATTCCAAACAAAGGACTTTATATTTGATCCTAAAGGTAATAAGTATCAACTGGAGTTTAATGAGAAAGGGGCTGACATGAGCAGACCCAGAACCACAATTCTGATACTGTGTGACCTTAGGTAAGTCATTTACCTTCCTGAGGACTGTTTTCCCAACTGCCAATGGGAATGTTATACTAGATATCCTCTGTGATCCTATAGACTGCTCTATGGAAGGATCAGGGAGGTTTTTTCATAAAGCAGGTACTATTTGAGATGGGCCTTAGGGCATAGGTGTGATCCTAACCAGTAGAAATGTCATATAGACATTTTGGGAGGAGTAGAAGCCAGAATAAGAGGTAGAGGGATGAGTCCACAGAATCTAAAGGCCCAAAGCAAGCTCAAGACATTTGCAATGTTCAACGAAAGTATTTTTTTTAAATGGAATTGAGTACATCAGTCATCAAAAAGACCATGGTGAATTCCACTCAGCTAAACATCTGTCTTCTTGGCTTAGTGTAAAACCCCCCCCCAAAAAAACAAAAAAAAAACCCTATAGATGGTGAAATGGGTGGCAGTGGTTTGGACTGAAACATAAAACCAAGACTGAGATGTGGGTTATATAACCACTGTGAAAGTTTTTTAAACAAAATAATGACAAAATTAAGGTAACAGAATGACTACTTCTTTGACTTGCAAGGCCCATTGTACAAGTGTGTCCTTAACTTCTACTGTAATTCACTATATGATTCTCTTTTTTCTGTTATTAATATTTTTATTAAAATGAACAAATACAACATGTTAATCCACTCTTACCCCTTCCCTGAAGGCTGCTCTGACTCCACACTGCTGGAGATGTTCTCTCCCTCCTCAAGTTCTTCATAGTACTATGGTCATCCTTGATGAACTCAATGGCATTTTGTCTGTTGACATAGTTGTTTTATTTGTGGGCCATCTCCTCTTTTGGATTTATAGGTTTGGAGGTAGTGAAGTGTCATGGAGAAAGAGTACTGTAAATGATGTTGGGGGACTCTACCACTTACTTGCCCTGTGTAAATTATTTGCCTTCTTGGGGCCTCAGTTTCTTTATCTATAGATGGGCTTAATAATGAATTACCTATATTACAGGGCTGCTATGGAGCTCAAAGGAGATTTATATGAAAGGGCTTTGGAACCTTCAATCAGTATTTAAATATGAATTATTATTGGAGACAGGGATTGTGCTTTATTTGAGCAACAAATATTTATTAAGGAACTATTGTGTGCTGGGGATCCAAAGGTATTAGACTAGGTGCTGGGAATACAAAGCTTACATTCAATTGGAATATGTGCATGTAGATGTTTACCTTTGTATCCTGTCCTCCTGAACTTCCCTATTAAGAACAATGCCTTTTCATAGCTGAATTTTGTTGCTTAATCATTTCAATCTTCTTTGATTCTCTGTGACCCCATTCGGGGTTTTCTTGGCAAAGATACTAGAATGGTTTGTCATTTCCTTTTTTAGCTCATTTTACAGATGGGGAAATGGAGGCAAACAGGATTAAGTGACTTGCCCAGGGTTACACAGTTAGTCAGTGAGTCTGAGGCCAGATTTGAACTCAGGAAGATGAGTTTTCCTGACTCTAGGCCCACCACTTTCTCCACTGTGTTACCTAGCTGCCCCACATTTGTGAAATTGAAATGTCGACTGTTTATAGAAGATCTAAATTGCACTGTGGACTAAGAAAATTCTTATGAACTGAAGAAAGTTTGGATAAAACACTGGCAATTTGGGTCCTACTTTTTATTTCTTTGGGTTTAAAAAGAAAATATTTTATAGTCTTGGAATGATTTCAATGTCATTGCCACTGGGCACCAAGCCTTCACAATCCAGGAAACAGATTTTTAAAGGTGAGTTGGCTTCTCTGAATGTTGGGTCATATACAAACAGTGTCATTTTCAGTTGGTGCTGGTCAAGGCACTGTAAATAAAGTTGACAAAGTACTGAATCCTGGAATCCTGGAAACTTTTCCAAATTGGAATAAATGCAGCCCTTAATTCATCAATCACTCCTAAGCCTGCTTTATCAGTGACCACTAGAAAGATATTTATGTTTTATTTGCATGATTCCTCTTCAATAGTCCTGAAAAGAAAAAAAAAAGTAAGATGAACAGCAGATAGCTTTTGAGAAAGACTTTGAAAATATCATCTCCCCAGACACTCAGACTGATTTATTAGATTGATCAGCAGGAGAAACAAAAAAATACACCAATACACAAAACAACCCCAGTTCCTCTCCTTGATTGTCTATTCAATAATGTCAGAAAGGAAGATATTGGGGACCTATATCAGTATCGTTGCAGTGTCAGAAGAGAGAAGAGAACCTACATCAGGCAGCTAAGTGGCACAGCGAATAGAGAACTGGCCCTGGAGTCAAGTAGACATGAGTTCATTTCTAGCTTCAGACACTTCTGAGTGACTCAGGGCAAGTTACTTAACCTTTGTCTGCCTTAGTTTCCTTGAATGTGACATGAAGATAATGCCAGCGACTACCTTGTAGTGTTCTTGTGAAGGACAAGTGAAAGAATATTTTTTAAAGAGCTTGACACATAGGTGTTATATAAACTAATTCCGTTCCCTTTCCCTAACATGAGAGATACTCATGTATGATAGAAACAGAAGTATATGGATATAAATGGTTGCTCCTCAGTATAACAACAAATAATAGGTCTTACACTAAGTGTGAAAAGTCTTTGAAAGCCATTTTATAAAGTACAATGACCACCATTCAAGTCTGTTCCAATAGAATGAGGGCTTTTGCTGAATTCTGGATTCTGTTTGAAAGCACTGAGTTAGCCAGAATCAGGGAATTTCAATGAGTATTGAGTCAAGTGAGAAATCATTCTTCAAACTCCTGAGGAAGACCCTGGGGATAGGGAGAGGAGAGGCCTCAGCTCCAGCCTTGGCATACATATTTTCCCCACCCTCCATCCCTTTGGCCAGAGGAAGAACTTGCAAATTTCTCTGAACATCCAGAGAAGTTTAGACTTCCCTTCTGCTCATTTATAGCCCTTCTCCAAGGACAGCAGTGGTTGGCAGCAATGCATGTATTGGGAGCCAAGGACAGACAAGGCCCATATTTCTCATGCTTAAGGGGAACTTGTTGAGTATCCCATAAATCAGAGAAAAGAATTTTAAGCAAATGAGAACTTACAGTTACTCCTTATAACATTCACTCTCTGTGTTTGAGCCCACTTTCCCTTGGTATCTGTATGAATATATCACAGTCTACACAAGAGTATATCACACTTTTGGTGGGATGTTTTATAGCAACTACAGAACTACACTTTAGGAAGATCTTTTTGATAGTTGAAGGAAGATGGAGTGGGAGACAGAGAGGCAGAGAAACCAACATTTGGAATGTTGTAATAGCCTGTTGGTTCTTACTATATCATCCCTCTATTCAATAAATTCCAGTGGCTTTCTATTACCTTCAGGTTCAAATTAAAAATCTTTTATTTGGCTTTTAAAGCCCTTCATAACCTATCCCTCTTCTTCCTTTCCAGTGTTCTTACATGTCACTTCCCTCCATGTCCTCTGTAATCCAAAGATACTGAACTCCACCCAGCACTACATTTCCTGACTTTGAGCATTTTCATTGTCTGTCCTCCATGCCTGGATTTCCCTGTAACACCTGGCTTCTCTGGCTTCTTTCAAATATCAGCAAAAGTCCCACCTTCTCCAAGAAGGCTTCCCTAGTCTTCCTTCATGTTCATGCCTTCTCTTGGAAATTACCCATTTATCTTGTCTAGACATTATTTATACCTACATAGTAATTTGCATATTGTCTCTCCCATTAGAATGGAAGCTTCTTGAGAGCAGAAATTTTTTGTTTGTTTATTTTGTTATGTTTTTGTCTCTCCTGTCCTTGGCACAGTGCCTGGCATATGGTAGGTACTTAATAAATTCAAATATAATCATTGACATGTGTGGACGAAAATGATTTTCACTTATTTGAGAGTAGTAGTTCAGCAATTGAAGAGTTAGTCTTTGCTGTGAGGGAATTTATAGTTGCCCTAACATTATGTCCTCGTGGACCTAAGTTTAAAGCCAAGTCAACATTTAATTGATATCTGATTAACAGTCTACTGAATATTATTCCCTGTGTTTACTTTTTGGATTGTCACTTAGGACAGACAGAATTCACTCTGCCTGGCTGTATCTTTGTTTAATGTCACAGAATTTCTTTTTGGTCCACCCTTCACGAAGCAGAGAACACCTCCAAAAGATTCCATTACAGTGAATGTTCTGTTCTTGTGAAGACAATTGTAAGAAGTATACAGAGATAAGGAAGTATAGGTTCAGTGGCTATCAGAGCGAAATGCCTCTTACCATTAATATGATAAACTGGGAGGAAATAAATGGACTTTAATTTCCCATTGACCTAATTTGATTGTTGTCACCTTCTCATACAGTTCAATCAAGCTGGAAGAATGCCAAGGTATATACACTGTTTATTCTGGAGTACACTGATATGATGTTAGATCTACAAACAAAAAAAGGCAAGCCCAGAGTAAAACAAAGCAAAACAAAACAAAACAAATGCCCTGCTCCATTGAGATCCAGGAGCTAACCAAGACTTGAGTGTGGGTAAGAACAACCACTGCCTACTAGAAGGGGCAGAATACAAAGCCCAAACTCAGTGGCATTCTTTATGTCTTATAAAAGTTTAGTAACCATTGTTACCCTAAGTTAAATTCTAACATGGAGTTCATTTTTAAGATTAAAAAAAAGTAAAATGAAGTAAGTCCTCCAAAAACCCTTTCCATTGCACTAGATGTGGATTTCAGTTCAGCCAGGCTGATAGTGAGGCATGTCTTGTCCAAACACATGACAGTCAAAGCAACATTGACAACCTCAAATAGTCTCTTCCTTCCAGAACACGCCTGTATCTTCTACTCATGACAAGAGTGAGAACACACCAACAGTGTTTGGTCTTGAATGAAACACCAGGGCCAAGCTGGGAAGGGAACTCATTAAAATACAAATAAAATGAATTAGAAGGGTAGAGTTGGGGAAGGCCTTAGAGGTCCTAACTACTAATTACTCTTCTTTTACCTTTCTCTACCCTAACCCCACAGGGATCAGACTCATACAGATCAATGTGTAGTGATGTCTCCACAAAGTACAAAAATACCCACAGAAGAGTTATCCCCAAGAATAGCAACAACAACAAACCCAAAACAACGTCTTCTTTTCTTGCTTCCACTTCTTTAAGAAAAGCATTTCTTGCTATTCAAAGCCCCTATGTCCACTGTCTCCACACAGTGCCACCCACTGGCAGACAGTGCTTACAGGTCTGAATAGATTGGTATACTTGAACTCTGGGGACAGCTGGGGGTATTGTGCATTTTGCAATGTCCGACATTGTGAGGCATGATAATGGCACAGTGTTTCAGGGAGGGTAGTGCTGGTTGTTTCCTTGCCACTGTCCAAAATTAAGACTGAAAGTCCCAGCCTAAGGTGTCTATTGAGTTCACTAGCATTGTTCTGGAAGCAGGGCTGTAAGGAATTCAGAGGAGTGTCATTGTGGAGGCAGGTGGTGCTGTGAAAAGTATTTGTAAGTTCTGCTGTTTTCTTGCTGTCAAGTTTGGGGAAGGAAAGAAACTTGAGATTGCTCACAGCAGTGATAGGAGGGAGACAAACTTTGGAAGACAGTGATATATTTTCACAGACACCTAAATGTGGTAAAATGATAAAGCCATTTGGTTTGTGAAGAAGCTTGAAAACCAAGGAAGTCTCTTCCAGGGATGCCAAGACTTCCTGGTCCTGCAAGACAGACCAAGAGCCTCCTTTGGTCAATTCATTGTCTAAGATCAGGGCCACAATAGGCCCAATTGTACCAGCAAGAATGCTTCTCAGTTACCTTTCTTCTTATCAATAGTGTTAAATTCCAAGTCATCAATTGGGTCCTTTTCACATTGCAAGTCACTGGGGTTGAAGTCTGTCTTTGTATGGGGTGGGCTGAGAACCTTCTATTTTATGGCACTACTGCTAACAGTTTGAGGTGAGAATATTGTTATTCAGTAAGTTGGCCTGGATGGGGTTAATGAGATGTGGCATCATGGTCTGGCAGTGTGTTGGAGAAACCCATTTTGCTGTCACCCTCTGGGTCACTCTTGGAATTGACTTTGACTTTTGCTTCTTCAGCCTTTCCCTCAGGTTCCCATCCGAGCTTCCTGGATTTTTATAATGTTTTCTATCCACTATATTATTTTATGTTGTTTGTTCCTTTGTTGTTGTTTTTTTTTTTCCCCAAGAAAAGCCCTGTTGTATTTCCCTGACAGCTTATAAACAATCAAGAAAATTCATGGAGAATCCAATGGGCAGATTAACGTGAGCTGACAGTTTGAATTTGTCTCTTGTCTTAAATGGGACATCATCAAGCTAACTGAAAGTCCCACGAAAATCTGAACCCAATTTCTTAGAAGTCATTTAGAATTTGAACACCTCTGCGGTCACTGAGACTGGAAAGGTATGAGTGCCAGCCAGCAGCCATCTAGGCAGGATCCCAGTAGCATTTACAGTTTAGGGAAAGTGAGTTGTGCGGACACTGACTCTGCCCTCTTACTACTTTTGGATGTCATTACTCTTTCACTTGGTTTTGAAACTATTGGTGGAGTTTGAAGAGTTCTGCTCAAATGCAATACCATCATCCTTACCAAGCAGACATAGACCATTACCACCTATTCAGACAACCAGTCTGGTGTGTTGGTATTCAGGTTTAAGAGAATCAGAAAACAATGATGAAAGATAACAACCCTCTTGGCAAGTTTGAGCTCACAAGAATCCCCCCTGCCCCCAAGGATGTTACTCAGATTGAAGTAACATTTGATGTGGATGCAAATGACATCTTCAGGGTGTCTGCTGTGAATCACAGCACTGTCAAGGAGAATAAGATTACCATCACCAAGAACAAAGGTCAACTGAGCAAAGAAGACATTGGGTGCATGTTTTAGGAAGTTGAGAAATACAAGACTGAAGATAAGAAGCAGAGAAAGTCTTCCAAGATTCCAAGCAGAGGTGTCTTCGAAGACCTCACTTGAATTTTATGGTTTCAACATGAAAGCTATAATAGAGGATGAGAAATTCCAAGGCAAAATTAGAGATGAAGACAAACAGAAGATCCCTGACAAATGTAATGAAATAATCAACTGCTGACTGGATAAGAACCAGACTGCTGAGAAAGAAGAATATGAGCATCAGCAGAAAGAACTGGAGAAGGTCTGCAACTCCATCCTTACTGAATTGTACCAGAGCACAAAGGTCCTACTAGGAGACATGCCTGACACATGGAGGTTCCCAGGGAATAGAACAACCCCATCTGGAGCTTCTTCTTCTGGACCCAGCATTGAAGAAGTTAAACTAAAAACACAAGAAGAAAGATCATTACACATAGTTTCCTGAAAATTGAAGGACTCAAATTTTATCCAAGACAGTGTCAATTTGCAAGTAACATTTAAGCTGCTGTGTAAATCTATGCATTCTGAATAGAATGGGTTCAGAGGGAGACAGTTCAACAACATTGCACTGTGCCACATAGCTTCCTTTTGGAGCTGGTGTATACATCCAGATCCAAGGTTTAATAGATTCTTCAAATACAAATGAATGTTTCACAGGATATTAGAATGCCATCCTTTTAGATTGTTACACTTTTTTTTTGAAAGGCAGGAATGTTTATTCCATTCTCCAATCTCGATGGAGAAGTATTTTTGTTTATTTTTGTTTTGTTTTCAGATTGGACCTGTGATTTCATTGTTATAGATACTATCCGGTGAGCAAATTCCCTATACCAAAACCATTTAGTGCTTGTTCTGCAATTTATAACCTCAGGGAGCTACCTGGGGGACTGAGACATTAAGTAAGGATCAACATAGCCAGTATGTGTCAAAGATAGGACTTGAACCCAGATCTTCATGACTCTGAATTGGATTGTCTATCCATTATGCTTTATATCTTTCATTGTATAGATGAGAACTTAAAATTTAAGGCCAAAGGTCAAAACTTCTTATCTTCCAAATGATGAAGCATAAAGTTGAAAGAGATATAGTACAATAGATAAAGGGTAGTCTTCCCAATGTACAGATTCGATTATATCACACCTTTGGTCAAAATTGTCAGCAGTCATTTATTGTTTACAGGGTAGTATAATAGCAAGAGTGCTAGACTTTGAATCAGGAGAGACCTGGGTTTAATTTCTCATCTGTAAAATGTGGTTGTAATATTCATGATATCTACCTGGCAAGGTTGCTATGGGGATCAACTTAAATAAAATGTACATGTATAATGAAGGGTTACCAACAGCTAGCCCCTTCCCCATGTCTTTAGTGGCTCAATCACATTCTATGGACTATCAAACCTTTGTCCTGGCACCTCCTAGGATGTCTTGTACTCAAGATTTGTCACTTTCATACAACACAGCAAAACTTGGGGTTGGGTTGGGGAGGGCCAAGAAAATTTTAATTCTGCTCTCTGACTCTCTCTTCCATTCTCATGTATAGTGTATAATAACATGTAAAATGTAGCACAATGTAGCACTTGCTCTCTCTCTCTCTTTCTCTCTCTCACACACACACACACACACACACACACACACACACACACACACACACACACATAAAGCTTGAAGTATTACAACACGCTGGCAGAAATGGCCATTATTCATAGAAGGCAACTACAGCAAGAACATGGCTGGATGAGTTTGAGTCTCCACCTTTGACTTCTTTTTCTGATTTGCATTTCTTACCCTCACTATAGTTGTCTGAACAGAGATCTTAAGATATATATTTCCAGCCATGGAGGCAAACTTGTGAGTATGAGAATTCCTCAGATGCCATCTGTACTACAGCACAGCTACTACCACACTTTGTGGAGAAAATGGCCAATGGCAAGAAGAGTAACCCAAGCACTGCTCTGGCTTGCCAGAGGATGTGGAACTAGATGGAATTGTCTGTCCAGTATAGACTCATTTAGATCCTACGTGGAGGTGGAATGACGAATTATTCACACATACACATAGACATACACCTGCAAATCTCATGTTTTGCTATTTTAAGCATCAACTTCCTAGTAGAGTGTAAGTGGAGATACATTACTGATCTGTGTTTGTGTGTCTTTTGCATGTTGGAAATAAATGACTATTTTATACCTGATTTCTATTGTACATTAAATACTTTCTACTTGATTATGAAAGATGCTAGACATGAGAAAATGTAAATTTTAAGTAATTTCCCCCAGAACTCTGGTAAAAACCAAGAAATTTCAGGAAAAAAGAGCCTAATTCATCTGTATAGGACTCAGGGTGCATACATGAGTTAAGTGCTGAAAGTCCCTTCAGAGAGAGATCAGGAAGGCCCTAGATCCTCCGAGCCAAGCGGCTATTCTATATTCTGAGACCTGGGGACTAGAAAACTTAAAGTGCTTTATAAACAGCCATTATAGAATAAAATAAAGCTCCATAGCCTGATATTCAAGTCCCTCCACAATCTGGTTACAGTCTAACTTTTCCTGTTTCCCTCATCTTCTGATGTCCTCCCTCCCAAAACACCTTTTATTTAACAGCTTTGGCTTTTAACATTTATTTGTGGTACAACCGATACAGTGTTGGGCCTGGAGTCAGGAAGATCTGAGTTCAAAACTAGCCTCAGACACTTTCTAGCTGTGTGACTCTGGGCAAGTCACTAACCTGTTTGCCTCAGTTTCTCATATCTAAAATGGAGATAGTGATAACACCTATCTCTTAAAGTTGTTGTGACGATCAAATGAGATAATAATTGTAAAGCACTTGGCACAGTACTCAGTACACAGTACTATATAAGTGTTGACCGTTATTATTATTATCATTATTTATTCTGTACATAATCATGCATACAAATACAATGCATTACATATGTACACATGTTATAAGTGTGTACATAATACATACACGTGCATTGTGTATGGTATGTTGTATATCTATATGTATATATCATGTATATGTCATGCCCTATATACATATATTTTATATATATATACATATATATACATATATATATATATATACATATATATATATATATATATATATATATGCTTTGAACTGGAAAAGAGATCTAATCCAACTCTCTCATGTTCCACATAATGAAGTTATTATGAAGATTAATAGTTAGCAGGACTGATCCTCAGACTCCAGAACTATCATTCTTTTCATCATGCCACTGATTCCAGTCTGTAAAAAGACAATAGGTATAAAGCTGGAAAGGACCTTGGAGATCACCTAGCCTAATTTCCTCATTATATGGATAAGTAACTAAACTCAAAGAGGTTAAGGATTGGAATCTAGTTCCTCTGACTCTAACTGTAGAAGTCTTTCTTCTGCTCTCCCAGGGCCATTAGTCATTATTTGAAAAAAAAAAATTAAGTTACTTTCTCCCCTTAATACCAAGCAGTAGTTTAAGAGAGAGCAAGACAGACACATGGGCTACAGCATGTACAGTGGCTTCAGGAACATCTGATCACGAGGGACGCAGAGATGCACACTTTGCTCTGTGTTCTTCCTGGATGGGGGCCAATGATGACTTTGGGCCACTTGGGATGTTTTCCTTTCACAGTATAATCACTAAGTCAACACCTGCAATGACATAAGCCCATGACTCACCTGCCTGAATGGAAGGTCTCTTTAGGCTCAACTGCTGTGGGTAGAGTACATCTGTGCCATCCCCATAAATGAGCCCTTCTCGCCTCAGTCAGCGCCACTACTGTTTAAAATGCAGGGCCCTCCTAAGAGGGTGAGGCCCGGCAGCTGGGCAGCAGCTTGGGTGAGTCATTTTAAAAAGCCCCTCTCACAGCTGGAGAGAAAATAGCGCTGGCACTACTGGTATCCATTATGAAATCTGAAAAGTCCTTCTCTGGGCAGGAGGAAGAAAAAGTTCACCCAGCTGTCAAGTATTTGAAATGTAAAAATCCCAGGCCCAAGGGGGGAGGGGGAGAGAAGACAGAGGCCACGTCAGAGGAAATTAAGCCTCCTCTGAGGCTTGAGGAAACCGTGGGCCGATGAGTTCACTTTCAGAAATCAATAAGGCTTTCAGAAGCAGGGGGAGAGCAAACAGTTCCGGGGAGGGGAAAAAAACAGGAGCTTGGGAGGGTCTGAGAACTGAAATGCTCCTACCAGCTACCCAGTCAGCCCACAGGACAGCAAGACTCTCCAGGCCTTTGGTTTTCTCCCAAGACTGCACTCTAGAATTACAGTATTGATCTACAAGGATAAAAAGGGGAGGAGGAAATGGTGCTTCCTGACTGTCCAGGCTGTACTTCATTTGTTCTTTTCTTTTAAAGGATAAAACAAAAAAGGGAATAGATTGGTCAACTCCCAGGAAATAAAGAAATGAAACATAACTGAGAGCTATGGATATATAGATATATGCAGTTCTAGATAAGAGATTCTTAACATCATGTGTATCAGGGATCCCTTTGACTGTCTGGTGAAGCCTATGGGCCCCTTTTCAGAACAATTTTTTTTTAATGTAGAAAATACACAGGATATTAATTATATTGAAAAACAGCTCATAATACATGTACACATCTGTATGTATACATATTTATGTTCACACATATAAAATATGTATATATATGGATATATATGTGGAGAGAGAGAGATAGAGGAGAGAGAGAGAGAGAGAGAGAGAGAGAGAGAGCATGGATCCCAGTTAAGAATTGGTGCTATAGATGTAGTAAGATAAAGATATAAATAAAGGAATAAAGGAGAAAGAGTGAAATTTTCTGTAATTTACCAGATGATGGGAAAATCACTCAATGACCCCCAGACACACTTTTTTTGTCTCCAAAATGAGAAATTTGGTTGTCTCTGGTCTCTATTAGCTCTAAATCAGAATCATATCTCAAAATTAGATATGAGGTGTGTTCTAACATATATATATGTATATATATGTGTATATATATACACATATATATGTGTATATATATATATATACACATATATATGTACCCAAGTAAAAATATCCTTTAGGATTTCAGCAGCAAAGTGTCCTCCAGCCTGTGCTGGAAGATGTCAAGTGAGGTCAAAGCTACCATATTCCATGTTAGGGTAATTTTAACTGTTAGGATTAAATTAAGTTATACTTTATTGATCTGACCCTCACCCACTAGGGTCAAACAAAACAAAACTAACCCTTCTTCCATATGGCAGCCCTTGATTTACCTGATGGTAATGGTTATGCCCTATTAAGTTTACACTAAAAATTACTAGTTCTTTAAACCACTACTCACATGCCAGAGTCCTCAGTCATTTCACCACCCTTGTCCACTCTTCTCTAAACTTGTTGCATTAGCATTAAACTGAGCAAGTAGCAGGAATCTTATGAATTTTCTATCTCAACAGACAAGTGTTGGAAGAAGGCAGATGGGACAGGAAGATCCAGTCCTTATCTCCCAGCAAAATACCACTTTTCTCTGAAAAGTTCCCCTGGCCTGACTATTGCCAGGAAATCATTTTAAATCTAATCTTGATGTTAAGTGCATCTTTAAGCTTAAATAGAATTAGCATATGGAAACTGTATGTGAAAGACCACTGAAAAGGCCTAAATTTAATCAAAGATGAAATCTTAATTTACATTTTTCTGAGTGGCTTGAGAAAATCTTGAGGTTCAATATATGATATATATGTCCATAATATATATTCTCATGTATATCTGTTTCTATAAATTCTCAGATCTTTCCTATCCCTTCACCTCCCCTTCCTTCTGTTTCCCCTCCTCTTTCTCTTCTCTCCTGTCATGCCCTATCCTGTCCTCTCCTTCTCTAAGAGAGACAGAGACATATAGACAGAGAGACAGACAGAGACAGAGAAAGACAGAAACAGAGAGACAATGAGAAAGATAAATGAGGAAGAGGTGGAGGAGGGAGAGACAAAAAGACAGAGAAAGGGGAAGGGTGTGGAAGGTGTAATGGCTTGGTTGCTACCTTCCAATATGTATTTTTATAATTTAAATAGATCTAACAGACTTTTCTATAATTTGGCACTCCTGATTCCACTAAACTAGTAAACACTTTCCCCAGAATATCTTTCTAAACTTTTTTTTTTTAAGTTGAGGTGTGGTGTAATGGAAAGAGCAGTGAATTTGGGATCAAGACAACTAGGATCCTATGATGTAATCACTTCAAAAGCTCCTCCTGAGTCAAAGAATCATTGTCTTTATGGACTACCCTGTGTGACCTTGAGTAAGCAATTTAACCTCTCTGCGTTGCCCTTATCCTCATCTGTAAAATTAAGTGGTTGGACTAGATGACCTTTGAGGTCTATTCCTTCCCTAAATTTGATAATTCTATTATGAATTTATTTCCAACCACAAAAATTGCACTGAGTCAAATTTTGTTGCACTGCAATGCCATCTAGTGGTCACTTTGGCTAATATCAAGGGATGATTCCCCAAGGAAACACTGAAAAAAGACACCACCTCCTCTCCTCACTCCCCTATGCTTTCAATTCAGTAATGTTGTGCTAGGATTGAAGGAAGATTAACTGGTGAGTACCCATCTTTACTGACATCATGTGCTTAAGGGGAATATAGTTTAATATTACATTTACATAACATTCTCGCTTTAGTTATACTCCCCCACCCCCCACAATTTGATAGAAAAAGCTCTGCCTGATGGAACTTGTTATCACCAGGAAAATGAAAATAAAGATTCCAGTATGAATCTTGGAGCTTGGATCAATTCACCTGCTATAATCATGGTCACTTAAGACTGCAGGCGCAGTCAGTCATGCCAAGAAAATATATTATGCTGAACTTGCAGGCATTTTCTGCAGATGTGCTATATGTATGAACTGCTGGGATTGGGAAGAAGGAGACTTGAAGTGTGTTTATTGCTTTGAATGGAAATACAAGATGTAATAAAAGGAACTGATCACAAGTGGGAGAACCGGGTATGTATGCACCTTTGTGCTCAAATGCCTGCAAGAAAAAGGACTTAGGACTTGGTCTCAGGAAAGGAGACAACATAATTGGAGGAGGACAGAGAAATGTTAGATTTGGGCCATAAAGGCAACTGCACTCAAATTCTACCCCTGCCAGTTGCCACCTCTGTGACTTTGGCTAAGTAACTTACCCTATTTTGGGCCACAGGCCGCCCATACTTCGAACAGAGAGTTTGGAGTAGATGGAACCTATTGTCTCATCTACTTCTAAATCAGTGGTTTGGATTAATTTTCCCCTTTGTCTCTAATTTGATATATGACCTTAAATAAGTTACTTCACTTTTGCATATGGCTGTTCTCTCTTCTATAAAATAAAGATTAATGCCTTTTTTTTCTTATATCACAGGCTTCTCATGGGGACCAAGTAAAATGGGTTGTCCTGTGCTTTGAACACTATTAACGTAAAGCAATATTATAACAGTAAGTCTTCATTAATTCAGACTGTTCATATGGATTGTAAGGAATTAAGGTTTACCTTGCTACTCAGAGACAGTCTACATGAACAAGACTATATTTCTGTATGTATGGGTTCTGCAAGATATTCAGTGAAGGAGGGAAGAAGGATGAAGAAGGAGAGAAGAGGGAAGGAGGGGAAGGCTGCAACAAATTGTTACATGCAAATGATATCTGATGACAAATAATTACCAGTTCATTAAAGCAATTTCCCCAAGGGCACATACTATGGAAACACTTCATTAAAAATTACTTCAATTCCTATAATGTATTAACACTTCCAAAGCATTTCTGTCATATCAATGCCATGTAAATATTATTATTCCCATTTCACAGATGGAAAAACTCCTGCTAGGAAGAAAGAAGAGACCTGACCAAGTTTATGCACCTGGAAAATGCAGAAGCTAGAACTAAAACTAAGATCTCTAAAACTAAGATCTTTTTGGCTTAGAATCAGTCACTAAATATATTTGAAACCAAGACAACTGCCAGTCAATGATGATAGTTTTCTGTAATATATGTTAAACTCTTGAAGTTAGGGCCTTTTTTTTTTATCCCCAGCACTTTGTAGGCATTTAATCAATGATTGATTCATACTATTTCCTCTTATCCCAAACCTGGATGATATAAATATATGCTGTTGTTTTGGAATTATATTAAAATGCAATCTTTTAAAAGATGATTGGATCAATATTTCACATTCAAAAAAGTTCAGATTCAAGAAATATCAATTCAAGTGACACCAGGGACTATAAGGGATTCTTATAATGAAGCAGTATAATACCAAAGGACAGTCTGGTGTAGCTGGAGTCCCAGAACATGAATTCAAATTTTGCCTCTGCTATTCTTTACCTGGGTGATCTTGGACAAACTATGTTGGCTCTTTGGGTTTCACCTTCCATAACTATAAAACCAGGGGATTGGATGAGAGTATCAAAGGAACAGAGAGATTAAGTGATATGCTTCGCATCATATAGATTTTAAGTGGCAAGGCCAGGATTCTAACCCCGTTCCTCTAACTTTAAATTCCATGCTCTTTCAAACTACATTTTATAGGCTGGAATGATGGGCTGAGACCAAAAAGAAATTTGATTGGGATGCATGCTTTAAAGTACTATATTTAGATCGATAGCATCATAACAACCTTATGTTATAGACAACACAGGTATTACTATCCCCAGTTTACAGAAGAGGAAACTGAGGTATACAGAGTCTTATTAAGAATTTTAGGCCATTTAGTACAATCCATAACTGCACAAGAATGAGCTCTACAATATCCCCAACAAGTGATCACCCATCTATCCTGGCTAGAAGACTGCTACTGAGGATGGCAGTATCTTCTGAAGCACCCTGTTTCAATCTTAGATTGCACTAATTGTTAGGATAAATATATTTCACATTTATATGTCACTTTAAGCTATTCCTAGCACTTACAAACATTGTTTCACTTGATTCTCCCAACCACTCTGTGATGTAAG